ATGTGGGATCCGAACCGGGGCCCTCTGGCATCCCAAGCGAGTTCTTAACCATCGCGCCACTTGGCCGGCCCGATACTCATTTTTATACCATCCTTCGTTGGCAAAATTGAAACCCGAGAATGGGTCCCTAATTTTTTGTTTTCTTTTGTTAAATTTGGTCGGTCTACAAAATCCATGGAGCAGATCCTCTCTGGAACCACACGTGGTTTCTTTTTCTGTGGTTTACAGTCCTAGCAGCAGACCTTCTGGATAAGTGAGCCTGCTCTTCAGGGGGCAGAGGGCAGGAGGATGATGTGTGTAGGCCCAGAGCAGGGAGAGCAGGATCCCTGAGGGCGAGGCAGAAGTAACGCAGACGCTGGTCTCGCTCTTCCTCCCTCCCCCTGCCTCCCAGGTCTCACCCCACCATCCTGGACGTCCCTAACCGGCTCTATTATGAGGGCGAGCTGCAGGCCTGTGCCGACGTTATGGACCGGGAGCGCTTCTGCCGCTGGGAGGGTCTGCCCCAAAAGGTGAAAGGCTCCCACCCCTATACCTCAGTTTCCCTCCTATTGAAGGTGCAGGGTACGAGAGGACTGAACGGAAGCCATGCGCCTGGCCCTTTGTCACCTTGGCCTGGGATCCCACACCGCCTGGAAGGGTTTGGGGGTGAGAGGGAAGGGAAGCAGGAAGGTCCAGCTGAGGGTTTCCCCTGACTGTCTAGGATTTCCCCATCATCTTCCATGGTGTCATGGGCAAGGATGAGCGTGAGGGCAATAGCCCGTCCTTCTTCAACCCTGAAGAGGCTGCCACAGTGACTTCCTACCTGAAGCTGCTCCTGACCTCCTCTGTCAAGAAGGGCAAAGCCCGCCTGAGCCCCCGAAACGTGGGCGTCATCTCCCCATACCGGAAGCAGGTTAGGCCCTCAGTTCCCATCAAGGGTGGGATGCCACCCCCCTGCCCACAGTACCTGATTCATAGCGAGACCACTAGCTGGAGGTTTCAGGAGCTCAGCGCCTCTGTTGGCCCCATATCTCAGAAGCCCGGAGTTCAGATGCCCTCCTCTGCCTCCCAGCTAGCTCCCTGGCCTGCCTGACTCCCTAATGGCATGAGAGAAAGGCACCTATCCCCATCTTCCAGGTGGAAAAAATCCGGCACTGCATCACCAAACTGGATAAGGAGCTTCGGGGACTGAATGACATCAAGGACTTGAAGGTGACCCGACCACTTTCACATTCGCCTCCTGCCTTCTGTGCCCCTCACTTTTCCCCTCCCAGAGACCTCCTCAGGCTCCTGCCTTGATGCTTCAGGCCGGCCCATGCCCCACCCCAACCCAGCTTGGATTCTCTTCAAGCCCCTCACTCCTGGAGATCCCAACTTGCGGCTCTGCAATGGGACCAGGAAGCACGCATGTTTAGTAAACACCCCACACTATTTTTATGATCAGGCTGGTTTGAGGCCTCTGCCGGAAGGATCAAGTCCAAACTCTGAGGCCTGCCTGACCCGTCATGCGATAGTGTCCCGCTGCCCTCTCCCACCCTCAGGGTGAGTCAGTTGCCGGACTCTAAGGTTCTTGACACTGGCTGCAGATAAGAATCAGCTGGAGAGCTTTCAGTCCTGCCAGTGCCAGGGCCCCACCCAGCCAATTCAGCCATTAACACGGCTATCTGGGGGCAGAGCCAGGGCATCCGTATTTTTTCCAGCTTCTCAGGCGATCTCACATGCAGGCAGCCAGGGTTGAAAAACACTTTAAGATTTAGAGGCCTCTCCCTTGGAAAGTCTGATTTAGGAGGTGGGGAGGAGTATGTGTCTGTGTGTNCTGTTGTTCAGCATCTTAGCTGTAGAGGGCAGTGTCACTGGCCCTCATATGTGGGATCTGAACCGGGGCCCTCTGGCGTCCCAAGCCAGTTCTTAACGATCGCGCCACTCGGCCGGCCCTCAAAAATCTTAAAGATTGAAAATTTCTGATGTTCGGGTCCAAGAAGAGGGTATTCTCAAGTTCTTGGTAGTGAGAATGGAGGTCTGTATAACTTGTTTAGAGGATAATTGGCAGAACTTACAAGTGTAAAGGTTCATCCTCTTTGTCTCAGAAGTTCTACTTCAAGGAATTTGTCTCATAAAACTCACCAACTATTGGGTTGTCGGAAAAGTCATGACGTATTTTTTTTCTATGTTTTTCGTTGCAAAAATGCATCATGACTTTTCCGACAACCCAATAGTATAAGAGTTTTTGTGAAAGGATGGTTATTGTAACATTTGAGATAGCCAAAAAATGTAGGCGGCTTAAGTATCACTGGATAAGTAAACACACCACAATGCATTCGCACTGTGCTATCCAATGAAGCCATTCAAAAGAGCAGAGTGACCTGGGAAAATGTTATCTTGGAACGATGTCCATGGTGGTGAAAGAAGGCTGTTGCAGCGTGGTGTATGTAGCATAAAAAATATGTGTGCTTAAAAAACATGTTTTTATATGTGTAGAAGAAAGTCTGAAAAAATATACATCAAACAGTTAAGCAGGTAGCTGGGAAAGAGGGAGTGAGGGCCCTTACTGTTTTATGTTTCGTATTTGTCATGTTTTTTAATACGTTTTTGATCACCCTTTCAGTTATCTCTTTATGCATGCAAACCTACAACACTACTATGTAAGTTAACCCACATGAGGTCATTATAATATATCTTTTTTTATCGTGGACCCCTCCTCATATAAGTATCTCATTCAACATTCCGCTCCACCTTCAGGTAACTCATGATATCAACCAGGGTATCTTTTGGGTTGTTATATACAAAATGATCATGTTATACATATTTTCCACATAGCAATTTTCTTACTCAACAATACATTCTGGAAATCGCTCCTAATTGTCTGGTATATACCTCTAATTCATCGTTGGGGTCTTTTCCCAACATTTTACTTCTTTTTTTTTTTTTNTTTTTTTAATTGTATGATGTGTTGTCAGGCAGCCCACGGTAGACATCTCTCTCTTTTTTAACAGCTTTATTGAGACAATTCACATACCATGCAGTTCACCCATTTAAGGTGTACAATTCAGTGGTTTTTAGTATATTCACAGATATTTGCAACCGTCACCACAATGTGTTTTGTAACTTTTCATACCCCAAAAAGGAAGCCATTCCCTTCCGCTGTCACCCCTTTCGCTCCCCACTCCCTCCCACCCAAAGCAACCACTCCTCTGCTTTCTAGCTCTATATGTTTCCCTGTTCTAGACATTTCACGTGAATGGAATCATAGGATTTGTGTAGACATCTGTTTTTGACATGGCTGGGTGGTGTTCACAAAATACTGAGCTATGAAAGCGAACTGTAGACCATTGTGGGTTTTTTTCTTTTTTAAAAAAAACTTTATTGGGGAACAGTTTTTTTTCCAGGACCCATCAGCTCCAAGTCAAGTTGTTGTCCTTCAATCTTAGTTGTGGAGGGTGCAGCTCAGCTCCAAGTCCAGTCGCCACCTGCAATCTAGTTGTGGGGGGAGCACAGCCCACCATCCCATGCAGGAGTCAAACCGGCAACCTTGTTGTTCAAAGCACGCGTACTAACCAACTGAGTCACCCAGCCGCCCTTTTTTTTTTCATTTTAAAAATATAGTTGTATAATACAAATTAACAAAGAGGAAAGTCTGGGAAGCTATATACCCAAAAGCTAACGTTGGTTATCCCTGGATGATGAGGTTGTTGTTTATTTACTGATTGACTTATTACCTATTTTCCAATTTTTCTCTAATGAACATGTATTGTTATGTACGTATATGTGTATTACATCTGTATTTTTAAATGTGTCTAAGTATCACGCTTTCCAGAACTGAGAATGAATGGTCCAGCCTTGGAGAGAGCAGCCTCATGAGGTAGTGAGTTCAGTATCTTTCAGCAAAGGCTTTGGACCCCCTTGAGCAGTAGTACTGTGTAGGACTCCTGTGTCCTCCAGGGAAGGGCCGTCGCCATGACTCTGAAGTGAGGGGTCTCTGTGTTTGTGATAGCTTTTCTCCCCTATCCCTGCAGCGCCAAGGGGTATGACCTGGAGCTGAGTTTGGCGCTGGGGCCGTACCACCCACCCTCCCGCCTCCGGCAGCTGCTCCCCAACCTTCTTCAGGGAACAAGTATCTTCACTGCCCCAAAGGAGATTGCTGAAATCAAGTAAGTGCACCCCTCTGCACCTCTCGTGCTTGCCACGTTTCTTCACTGATCGCTTCTCCCTGTGCCACATACCTCTGTCCTCAGCGTCCCTTGCTCCAGTCACTCGTTCCCTTACTCAGCACGCACTGTGTGCCCGGCACTGTTCAAGGTGACTCAGTCACATGAGGGCCTTGCCCATTCTAGTGGGGGAGAATGAGAATTTATCTTAAAATTTCTTTTAAAAAAATTATCTTATAATTTCATGGAGTGATGAGTGTTGAGAAGAACAAAGCTAAAGCTCAGTTAAAGCTCAGCTAAAACTAAAGTGGGGGTACGGGGTTTGCTGCTTGGCAGAGGGCAGTTAGTGCTGGCCTCTTGGAGGTGACATTGGAGCAGAGAATGACATGTGAATGAGGTGAGTGAGGGTGGGAGTTATAGGAAGATTTGGGAAGAGAATGTTCCAGGCCCTAGGATCCAGTGCTGTCACGTCCAGCGTGGCAAGGGCAAACGGGTTTCTCTTAAGGGGCGACGCAAATTGAATAAGAGCAAGAGACAAAAGTAAGATTAAGAG